CCCCAAAACCCCAAAACCCCAAAACCCCAAAACCCCAAAACCCCTTTATATTTCTCAATACTTGAAATATAACCTATAATTAAAAATAAGAAAGATGTCTTTGAAAGTAAAAATATTTTGACAAATTTCAAGCCTGAAGGAGGGTTTAAAGCAACTATAGGTCCTTCTGAGTGACACAAGGAAGAAAAGAACAAGATTAGGTAGGGTTCTAAGGCTATTTTTAGCAACAATTGCGTCAGTCAGTGATATTCCTAGTACGAAGAAAAAGCCAACAGCTGGGTAAGTGGGAGTTTCATGGTGTAGAAATCCAAAGGAATATAAGAGTTCATTAGGCCTAGAGCTTATGAATGAGAAAGTAGAGCATAGCTTCCTGACTGCTGTTCGTAAGCCTGTTAGTTCTTCTGGAAATCTTATGGTATTTCATAGCTGAGAAGAGCAGAAGTTTGACAAAACAAGACTTAGAGAGTAGCTACCATAAATACATAGGAAATTCCGGCGAATATAAGGATGATATAAGCGTTCTTCTTGATAGATTAGATCAGCTCAAATTAGAAAAACAAAGAAAGGTAAAAATAATATGATATTACTAGGTTCAAAAATTGGATGAACTTGAGATGCAGCTAAAATAATGTGAAACTTCAGAATGGAAAAAAGGTAAACAGTAATATCAATGTGCATGCTTCAAGAAGGATCATTTATGAAGGTACCTTCACATCAGAGAATGAACAAGATACTGTTACAATTACATCAGAAGGTGATCTAGCATCTAGATACCTCGAAGACATGATGTCTCTCCACTCAAAGCCATGTAAAGGCTCTCTCGCCACAGTCAGGAAATTGAAAGAAAGATCGCTCCTAAAAACAAAATACCACTCACGCACAACCCCTGACATCTTCACCGAATTCGACATCCAAAAACTCCGTCACTACGAATACTCCCCCTCCACCCTCCACTCAATCCTCACTTCCAAACTCTCCAAAATCTCTTCTAAGCTCGAATCCCAAAAATAACGCTCAGGAAGAAATCCTCCAAATTCTCAAGCGTGAAAAATCTCAGAAATCATTTAACAGTAGAAAAATGCTCCTTCTCAATAGTAAGTTTTGGCCAGTGACATTAATAGAATATGAGATTACAAAGACAATGATCAGGGATCAGCAATTGGGTAGAGAAAGAAAGAGGAAAATGGAGTCTTTGATAGGGTTTATGAAGAAGAAGATTGAAGTGCAGAACGAGAAGTTTAGAGAGCAGATTAAGAAAAAATCTAAAGAGCTCAAACAAGAGAGCCAACAATGTAACACCCAGTCTCACTCTCTAGTCCAAAAACACCTTGAAAGCTACGGTAAAAGATTCGACTACTTCGAACAAATCAAATTCAAAGACTCTAAAAAGAAGGAAGAGACCGGAGAGCTCGGATACGGTACACCGCTCAGTTCATCTCTAGAGGAAATCATTAGGCTCCTGATCCAGACTATGGGCAAGGAGAAAGGCAAAGAGCAGGATTTCAGAGACCTCCTATCATCATTTCCACAGTATTTAAAGGACCCAGAACAGTTCGCAAAGCAGTTAGGGAACATCAACCTTGATAAACACTTTTTAACCAAACCTGAGTTCAATGAGTATAAGATTGGGGACACTTTGAATGCGAGGAATGATCTTCATCTTCCTACAGATACACCTGGTGAGGTTTTACCAGTTTTTTGGACTGCAGATTTATTATGGAGTGGTTTAAAATTCTCTCATTCAAAAATTCTTCCCTGATTTATCTTCTCATTGTTATGATTTATAAGGTTAAATGGATTATAGGCTTAAAACCCCTAGCTACGTTCAACGAGAAATAAATCTCCTCTAAAGTCTTTAGAAAAGAGTAAATATCCTCGATCTGAGCTAAGTTCGAAGAATATTTTAGCGAAAGATGAAGATCTGAGAAATAATTTGAACACAGTAATTAACCCTAAATAATTTTAGCCATCTTGCTCGAGAAGAGATAAAGATATTGAACTATTATCAGTCCACACTGGGCAGTTAGCTCTCTCTGAAAAGACCCAGGAGATCCTCGAGAATAGTCAGATTTTAGAATAATATATTTAGAAGATACAAAACAAACACTTGAAGATCATCTCAAGAAAACTAATTCCTTGAAATCCCAGTACGATTGCCAACTTGCTGAAGTTGTTAAGAAAAGCAAAGTAAATTTATAATTTCAACTTTAGAAATTACAAAAACTCATTAAGGAACGAGACCAGCTCAAAAATAGCCTCAAAAGTAAGTAACCTCCCCCAAAATCCCTCTATTGCCCCAAAATGAGCCCCTATCCACCCCTAAAATCCCTCACAACCCACCTATTATAGGCCAGCCTCCAAAACTCTCTCTGTCCCCTCGAAGTAAGCGCCTTCCTCCACCTCTAGACTCCATCATAACCCCACAGCTCGCTACCCCAAAAGCAAGTGGGGTTGCTCCAAACCCTGAAATCTCAGCACAAAAATCCAAAATCAGACACGAAGAAAATCTCATGACCCTTATCGAAGAAGGTAGGCTCCACTGTATGTACCTTAGATATCTTGAAGTCTAAATAAATGTGAAAGACAAATAGAAATCTTCCTTAACGAAAGTTTATCCCGAGTGTGCTTCAAGCTGTATAAAATTAGAGCCATCGTGGGGATCAGCCTCAGCAAAGATTTCGAAATCATGAAGATCATCACTGAGTTTACACACCAGTATCCGGAGTAAGGGCTAGTGAGTGAAGATTTAGGGTCCGAAATCACCAAATGAAGGATTCTAAGCTTAGACGTAAAGGAATGACAATGAGAGGAGGCTCTGTCCATGGAAATATGAGTAAACCTTTCACAGGGTTTGAACCTTCTAAATCATCCAGGTCGAAGTCTAGGAGAAGAACAGATTATACTTTCGTAGATTTCCGTAAAGGTTTATGCAATGGAAACCTTAACAAGTTTATCAGAATTGTGAACTATATTAATAATGAGATACAAAATTACAAATCATTATGGGATAAATGCTCTGAAGGAGTGCCAGTAAATAAGAAGAATTCTTCCTTAAAAGTACCTGAAAACAATAATATGCCTCTCAAAGGATCCATTGCCCGCCCCGTGAAGGTTTCATCAACCAATCAGGACAAAATGAGCACAAAAGACTTAGATAATTTGCTGGACAAAGGGGACAAAAATAGTGGTAGGAGATTTGCTAAACCTTAGGTAATATTAACTCAATCAAGCTCCTTGACAAAGATTATGATAAATTTGTTACAATTTACTCGCCTCGAAAACGTAAGTCTCAACACTAATACATAGATATTTTCGACCCACAAGAAGAACGAGATCAATATGTTCCTCTTTCTCCCAAAGAAGTAGAAGATATAGACCCAGTAAGAGGCAAAGTGAAGCAACAGATGAGATCTCTTGAAGAAAGCTACAGAGTTGTAGAATCCAAACCCAAAAGAAGAGTAATTTGCTCTAAAAATATATAGAAATCTATCCAAAAGCCACTTATAACTCCCTCTCAAAAATTAAGGGAAAATGAGAGAGAAAGTAGATTCTTTGCTCTAAAGTTATAGATAACGCCAACCTTATTAAAGCAAGGTCAGAACTAGACAGCTTCAATAAAGTAATCAAGCGCAAGAAGGAATTTGAGGATTGCCACAAAGAGACGACTGAGCTAATGGCCCTGATTAATACAAACCTGAAATATTAGTACACTCTTATGGAATAATGACATAGCTCCAGAAACGGTGTCAGACCTACTCATCTTAAAAGAGGGAAGAACAGGACCCAGAAGTTAACATTTAATGACGTCAAGGATAAAATTGTTGATAAGATCACTACAGAGAGAAAGAAAGTAAGCTTAAATAAATGATGCATGTAGATGTGATGCACCTCTCATCGTTCTCATCAACGTCAGATGCAAGAAATATGGAGAACAACTAAGCCTAGCTATATGTCTAAAGTTGCTAGCAAATCTAAATGGACCAAAGATCTCCCTAAAGAATTAGAAGTAACTCCAGCTCTAATAATTTTAGCTGGAACAATTCGAAGCAGTCAGGAAAGAACTATTTATGAAACAACTAAAGGTAATCTTCATCCAAACCTCTAGATCGACCCACTAAAGAAGCTCATAAAAAGCTTAGTAAGCCTCTAAACCACCACTTACAGTCTCCTACCCCTCATCTCTCCAAAACCCCCCTTCCCCATCCCTCTCCCACCCCCTCCTTCCGCCAAAACACCTTCAGATCCAACTTCAAATCCCACTTCGGGGTCGAAATCACCCACATCCTCCAATCCCTCCAATCCCAACATCGCCAAGGTACCCTCCCTTCCATCCTCTTTAGAACTAAAAGCCCAAAAGAGAAAACTTAAAGAAGCCCAAGATATTTAGTAATAATGTTCAGGACAAGTAGGAATTTATAGGGGTTTTGGGGTTTTGGGGTTTTGGGG